CTTGGCTTGTGGCTGTGCCGGCCAGAGCCCGCGTGGGATTTCCACTCACTGTTTCCTGGGCTTTGCCTTGTCCCTCCTGGTTGTGTAAGTCACAGCAGGGCAGAAAGGTGACATCCAGTCAGAACGAATGGCAGCGGTAAGCCTGAGCAGCAGAAAGCGGCAGCTGGCACCCGGGGCTGCAGGGCCGTGCCACGTTTACAGCCCCCACTGCTCCTAACTTTGCTTCTCTGTTTGTTCTGTAGAGGCCGGGGGTGGCAGCGCCCCTGTGAAACATCATTGGCTTCCAGAGGGCCATGGAGGCCTCTGTTTTCCTCCTCGACTCTGCCATCTCCCTTTTTCAGCTCTGCGTTTCGCTCTCCCGGGGAGCGCAAGCAGCTCTGCAGCTCGACCAAAAAATAATCTAGACTTGATGTGAATGTCTCTGCCCACCAAGCCCTTCCCGTATTCAGCAACCTCAGCTGCCAGGACCTGTACGTCCCATCCTGGTGCTACCTGCGAACGATGGGGTCTGCAAGCTCCCCACCAATGGATGGCCAAAGCCTCCGTGGCCACCGCCTCGGGCCGGGATGGCCTCTGCCCCGTCCCCAGGGCTCCCAGGGGTGCTTGGTGCTCCCACGCTGCAGGGTGACTGCTCGCAGACCCTCCCTGAGCTGGCCCAAGTCACCTTCAGGGATGGTGACGATGCTCCTGTGAGGATGCTTCGCGCTGAGGAGGTGGGAATGGGGTGCGACACAGCAGCGTCGGGATGCGGGAGGGTGGTCTGAGGGGCACTGGGAAAGGTCTGCGGCCGAGAGGGGTTTGTCCCACCCGCTGCTCCTGAGCAAGGGCTCCCCGAGGGTCCCTGCTCCCAGGCCAGCAGCCCCAAGGCCGAGCGACACGTGCTGCTCAGCACAGCCCCATCCCCTCTCCCCGGCCCCGAGCACTGCCACGACCCCCGAGGGGGGCGAGCTGCCACCAGGCTGGGGGGAGCCAGCAGCAGGAGGAACGCAGGGCTTTGCTCAGGAATGTGAGCAGGGCCTCGGGGACAGCCAGCTGAGGACAGGCCCTTGTGCCCCCCAGGCTGCTCCCACTCCGTCAAGCAGTGCTTCGTCCGCTGCCCCAGCGCCAGCCTCTCCTTGCTGCCACTACCGCTTCCCTGTACCAGGGGCTGCCTTCTTCCCAGTTCTGCCGAACATCACTGACCCCTGCTGGAGGGGCAGCAGGGTGGAGGAGCTCTGGCCGAGGACTTCTGGGAGCCTGGGGGGATCTTGACCACCTCCACCTGAATTACAACCTCTACCGCACCACCTGCACCGCCACCATCACCCCCACCACAGCCCTGGCCACTGCTCCCCACAGCCGGGCCCACCACCACCTCCCCAGGCCCTGCCTGGCCAACTGCATGGGCAGCAACACCTCCTCATGTCGGCCTGGGCACCGACAGGGAACCACACGGAGGACGAGGTGTGCTACCACCAGGTGCCAAATAACTCATCTGCCCTTTCCCCATCCTCCTCTCGGCTTTTAGTTTGCTCATTTACCTAGCAACCATCTCCCCATCTCTGACATCTACTGCGGCTACAGGGAAGTGCCAGACTTTGCACTCTCCGTCGGGGCGTGGGACACGAGGACAGCACACTTGAACTTCCATGTGGTGGGGTTTAACCCACCTCTGCCAGGCCAGATACTTTTGTTTTCCGTTAATGTTTCACCTTTGCCTGCAGGGAGCACGCTCCCATTACAGCCACTACAGGGATTCACTACTCATGGCTGCCCCAAAACCTGCCCTACATGGACAGAGCTCTTTGCCCCCAGTGCTCTGCTGGACTAGTGAAGTTCAAATCAAAAATACTTCTAACAGCTGTGGTGCTTTTGGGCTGAGATGGGTACACAAGAGAGGCTGAACCAGGCCTGGAATGACCCCACGTTCCTCCAGGGCACCGCTGGGAAACAGTCATCCAGTTTCTGATTGAGACCAGCGCTAGCAATTTTTTTTTCTCCTGATCCTGAGGCACAAACCAAGTTTAAAGGACTTCCAAGTTCATGTCCTACCTCAAAGCAAAGCTGTCTTCTGCAGAGACCATCACTTTTACCCTCACACCCCCTTTTTTCCTATAGACATCTAACCTTGACACTGAATACCAGGACAATCCTGTTTCTAAATATCTTTTGCTTTCAGAAGAAACTTTGGAATCAACATCTCACACTTGTTCTGCTATGGCTTGGCTACTCAGAGCTTCCTGCACAGGTCCTCCCCACAACCTGGCCCACAGGCCTCTGCGCCAGCAGCAGCAGCGTCCCTCTGACCTTCGCAGGCTCCATCGGACAGCCGTGCACACAGGGCGTGTTCCCTGGGACCCATCGCTGATGGCCTCCTGTACAGGTTAACCCCTTGGCTTGGTCTCTACACCTCTGTTCTGCATCATGTTCCTTTTCTCCACAACCCCTTCCAGAGCAGAGGGGCCTGAAAAGCAGGAAAAGGCCAGGGAGCTCCAAGGAAAGCCATGTTAGGCTCAAGACTTAAAGAAAAATACAGATTCCTTTATGTCGTGATTTTGCCCTCAAGCTCCTATCGAAACTGAACAGACTTGCTTTTGCAGCAGACAGCTGAAGGAAGGGGACAGCATGAGGCGAAGGAGGCAGAGCTCAGCCTGCAGTGACTGAAGCTCCTCCTGTAGGTGCAGGTACCTTCACTGCAGCTGACTTTTACCAGATTGGACACACAGGAGTTCCAGCTTCAGTCACAGAAACGGGGAGAAAATGCATTTCGCTCTCAGCCTTAGGGCAACTTTTTTTTTTTAACGAGGGGACCCTGCTCTTACATGAAGGCCAGCACTTTCCCTGCCAGAGCGACGACAGACATTGCAGTCCTGTGCCCGCTGGATTCACAGCCGCACAGAACTTCCCACGGCCACCTCAGTTTCGCCAGCGGTCGCCTTGAACAGGCACACAAGGAATGGAAGCAGAGAGTGCACACAACTAGGCCTTGCACACACCACGCACTTCCTTTCAGTCCAGCGCCCCAAGCCCTTTCTTCCGTTCCTGCTGCCTGCACACGCTGCGAGTTCACACCAGCTTCTCCTGCAGTTAGGCCGGGCACCCTGCCAGCTTTGGGACACATTGTCTCTCCGAATGAGGGGACAGCCGACTCCGTCTCCTTGACTTCTTCCTGGCACTGGCCCTACTTATACTGCATGTCAACACGGTAAGGGAGGATGAAGTCTCCTCCAACCGAAAACAGAGAGGGAAGGAACAACTCTTTGCTACCTCAAGAGATGTGTTGATTCTCAGAGGCTTGAAAGAAGACGGAGCAGGACCAGACTGTGAGCTTGTGTGCTCAGGAGTGGCACAGGCCGGTGCCACAAGCACGCATAGGCCCATGGACAATCCTCCATACAGAGATTTAGGGGCATCTGCCGCTACTCCTCCAGCGCAAGTAAAAAGCACAGCCCTACTGGAGAACGACCAGCACAGCCCTCATTCTTCATGCTCAGCTTTCAAACACATGAAGAGTGCACACAGTCCCAGTGTTTTGCCAAAGGGAGGAGAAAGGGAACATGTATTCTACAGGGATTCATGGATTGCATTCATTTCCAAACAAAGCCTATTTAATTAGGAAGAGAAGGGAAAGGGACAGGGAAAGGGCAGGGACAGGGAAAGGGCAGGAACAGGGACACCACAGGCAATGGCAAAAAGAAATGTACAATAAAAATATGCTTGCTCCCTTCAGCAACGGCCGCCAGGGTCAGCCACACTACACGACTATTCCAAGCCACAGCAGCAGGGGAGTAGTATATTAAAATACATATCAGCCACACACTGCCTTCAACAAACGGACTTGAAAGAAGAAACTAAGGGGAGCACACCTTGCCCCCCTGACCTGGCAGCAGCAAAAAGGGGGTCAAGCGCTCCCCTGGCCTGGAGAAGCAGGGGCAGCAGCAGCAGCATAGCCTCCCTCTTGCACAGGGCTGAATGCTGTCAGGCAGGAGTCACAGTTCAATAAAATAAAATAAAATGCACAGCTGGGTTGATCCTGATGAGACCGCTTCTGGGCCCCGTGTTAGTCTTGGCACAACCTTGCCAACGCGACTGAAGTGGAGGGCTCTTCTTTTTAATTCATGCAGAACTCAGAGCAGCGCTGACCACTGACTTTTTCTAACACAAGCACCTGCCCTGCAGACCAGGGAGTCACTTCATGAGCAAGAGAAAAAAAAAAAACACCTCAGTAGGATTTGTCCAAGTTTATGAAAGCAGAAGAAAGGACAGACCTGCTGCAGGGGGGGAAAAAAAAAAAAAGAAAAAAAAAAGAAAAAAGAAAAAAGAAAGGACAGCAGGTCTGTATGGGCTCTGGGATCCTCTCCCACCACGCAGCTCTGAGTTCTCTGCTGACAACAGTCCTATGAGGAGGGAAGGGCACAGCAGCACGTCTCTTGTCTCTTACAGCTGGTGGAGGGTTTCTAAGAGCATGTGGCGAGCAAATGAACAGGAGTCAAGAGCACGGTTTGGTCTGTGGAAAGAGAAGAGAGAGATTTAAAATACTAAATTTAAGAACTACTTTGTATCTGACACTGACTGAGCAAATGAACACGGTTTCAAACACACTGGGCTTGCATGCCCAAAAGTCTCTGTTTCCCTTGGTCATCTCTTCTGAAACCTTTCCCTGACTTGTACTCATATCACTGTTTCCCATCCAGAGCACGGTTTTGAAAATTCTCTCTCCTGTCCAAGTCAGGAAGACACTGGCCAAGATTCGGAACATGTATTTCCACAGGTACAAAAATCAGCAGAGATTGTTGATCTCTGCAGCCTGGTGTCTCCATCTGGGCAGCAGGAGGTGGGCAGGGGCAGAAGCCCCTTTCCCTTCCAGTGATGGTGTTTCCCATACAGACTCCCTGTTTAGGGCCCCAAAACACAGAAGACAAGCCTTCTCGCGCTCAAATCTTTTCTCACCCAGTCATCTGCTATCTTTGACCGGATGGTGACTTTGGTCTCGGGGCTTAAGTCTAAAAGAGGCCCTCCCTGCCCCTGAGGTCAAGTAACACCTGACTAGCATTGCTGGGCCACCTTTCGGGGGCCTCACAAACAGCCCACAGAACCTGCACATCATCAGCTGGAAGAGCCTGGCACAGACTGCAACAGCGAGGTCTACCTCACATAGAAGAACCTGCTCCTTGAAACTAGATGATGGAACTACAGGCACATCAGGGTTAATGTGGGGCTAAATCTCCCATCACCTCCCAGTAATGTATATTTCTGTTTCCACAGTCTAGCTGTTCTCCAAGATTCACTGCAACTTCTAACAGTCTGTACCCATCCATCAGGGAACTTCCTCCAAAGATTTTTAATCCAATGTTTTCCACTGTTCTGAGAACAGAAATCGTTAATTTTACCTTTCTCCTACTCAAATCCAGCAAAATAACCTTAACAGCAGTGCAGTCTACTCAATTTAGGAAAGAAGGGGGAGCTGAAATAAAGATATGAGTATCTAGGTAGAAGCAAAAAATTAATCTCTGAATTTATAGTACACAGGCAATAGCTGCAGAGGTTCTTTGGTATAGGGCTCCATGTACGCTACGGTTTAACGGAACCACATCCTGGACAAGAGTTAACCCCTTCTGTCCCCCCAAGAGCCATTGAATGCCCCACACTGAACAGACAGGACACAATTACAACTTGCAGTTTAACTTCAAAGTGTCTGGGTGGGGTATTCTGGTTGTCATCTTTGGAAGACCCAGCCCTGTTTGCAATGAGCAGGCTGATTTTTTTCTAGACAGCTCCCCATTTTGGGAAATAAAGAACCTGAACTGCTGATGCTGATCACAGCCAGCCTCTCTCACAGCCACCACTCCTAACACCAAGCCTCCTCTGACACTAAGAGCATCCTTACTTGCTGTGGAGTTCAACTGCCCGCCACACTGTGCTACAGACTGTTGAAAAAGGCCAGTGATATGATCCAATCCTGCAGCAAAGAACAGCAAAAAAAAAAAACACCCACCTCCCAAAACTCCCCAAACAAACAAAAAACCCCAACCCTTACAATAAAACCACCACCACCTCCAGCAAGTCACAAGCAGGCAGGCACCCACATACTTCCAGGGTTTCCACCTAAAGAATTATGGCAAAGCACATGTGGATTCACAGCACCCTCTTGTGGCAAAAAAAAAAGAAAACAAGGACTGACAGCAGCAGTGTAAGATGGAGGCTGCTTACAGTCCACATTCATAATTTTATTATTTTTGAACGGAGAACACTACCTACAACATCACAAATTGTCACAAAAGAAAGAAGAATGACTACTCCAGAAGAAAGCCCCTAGCAGCAAGAGGCAGCAGAGCTGTAGCCTAAAGAGCTACCAAGAACCTTATGGCTCCAGAAGCCCAAAGGAGCTAACTGCAATCCTAAAGGAAAAACACAGAAAACATCACAAAAATACCAGTTTGCTGCAAACGAAAGACTTGCGGGTTTGACAGAGTGGAATTAGATTTGTTGCAGAAACCAAGCCCAAAGCAGCTCTGCAGATTACCAAGTTAACCAGTCAGAGGTTTGATTTGAGATGAGGATGTGATTTTGTTCTGACTGAAATCCAAGGAAAGACAAGGGCCACGGGTTAATCAAGAAGCTGTTTTAACTGGACTTTATGGTGCTCCTTGTTCTCTCCAGGCAACTGTAAAAGATTTAATAGCTGTTCTCTTTATTCCCTAAAGGAAAGCATCACACACCGAAGGCAGGCAGACAGATCTGCCTTCTACTGTGATAGGCACTTGGCTCTCAACTTGTGCAGGATCTCTAAACGATTTCACACTTTCAGAAAGAGACTTTCCCCTCTTGTAATTGTAGTGAAATGCTGGCTATGGATTCAATGGAATTTTTGTTGACATATTCAAGATCAGAATTTTACTCTTATTTTGCCACATACATCATCATCTACAGATGAAAAACATTTATTGCTATTTCGCAGGCCTGTAACCTAGGAGAGGGCTACATACACACACACAGGGTGAGGGGGACAAGTGTCTTTTGTGAGCAGATTTGTTTAGAAGGACACGTCAAGCTGAGTTACAAAGCTACTCTAGGCACTGGAACCTGACACAAGCAATTAGCAGGGTCAAATGCACTGAACCCAAGTTCCCTTTTCTGTACTCCCAGACTCAAGTGATTTAAATCCTCTGTTTGGAGGGCTGAGGCTGACAGACACAAACTTGTTTTGACCAAGCTGGATCTCTGCATAACCAGCGCTTGATGAAGTAAGCCACCATTCTCTTCACCCTTTTATTTTAGGGCTGGTACTGGATCCTTACGCTATACAGATCTATTTGATTAACAAGACCATAGGCACAGGCAGTGGTGTAGGAAACAGCAAAA